GCGAAAGAATGCGAAAGAGAGAGAACAAGGCCGTAGCAAGAGGAAGTGAGACCCCCCCCCCCCCTTAAATAAATGAATGGACCCCTCCTTCACAAAGGAAACTGACTTATACACTTTAGGTATACAATGAAACACAGTGGGCGCCTCCGTTTTCCTTTTTTTTAAGGAATACTTTTTCTGTCGCCGATGTTGAATAAAAGGGCATAGGGCATTTGTTAGAACCAGTAAGAGAAAATAAGGATCCTGTATTAGTATTCTTGTTACCCGCCCCCCCACCCCCTCTCCCAAAGGTACTTGTAGAATTCCGTAGCTGAGGTTCTGGGCGAGGAAATAGACAGTAAGGTGACCGATCGATAGAGAAACAGGTACTTGGCTTTCTCGCTTGAGCTGATCCCACATCGAGAACTTTTCGCAAACGTCAGTGGGTTTGATTAGTATTGAGACAATGACAAAAATATTTCTTAATTGAGAATGATGATGCTGGTGACGATGTTGATGACTTCTAAGTTATTAATCGCTAAATTAGGATTATAAGATCCAGCTGTAACAACAGTAAATCAGTTAATGGTTCTTTAAACATTAATTTCTTTCTAATTTATTACTTTTTTCTACCCGGCGTTATCAGTCTTTAGATTTGCTGTTTAGCTGTCACGATGTCTCAGAAGTCATTGCAGTGAAATGAAAAAAGCAAATCTAACTATCTATAGGAATTTTGTCAACGTATATGTACACAAAGTTAGTTCATCATTATTTTCTTTACAAATACAGCTACTGTGTGGAATTTAGAAATGATTAGTTGACTACCCAATTAGAAGAAACGTTTGCTCGTATGTATATTTGATAATTCTAATGCGCATGTGTGTGTTCATAAATACCTTTATCAAATTTACCAAAACAAATTTTACATCCGGCGACAAATGACAAATTGCTTTCTGCGACGCTATTCAACTTGTGCAAAGTTAAACAGTCGCTTATGGTCTCGCTACTGTACTCTGTCATCACTTCGATTACGCCAATTTCTGCCTTTATTATTATTGACAAAACTATTCTAAGACTGATTACATGAACCACCACCACCACTACTACTACTAATATTACTACTCCTACTATTACTGCTACTACTACTACTACTATTACTGCTACTGCTGCTCCAACCCCTACTACTAATAATTTCATCAACACCACTACTACCACTACTACGAATCCCACCAACACCACTACTACCACTAATACTACTATTACCACCCCCCCCTACCACTACTCTTAACCCTCCCTCCAACACCCATGACCACCCCCCTACCTACCACTCCCAACTACAACCCCCCCTCCCCCCCCAAAAAAAAAAAAAAAAAAAAAAAAACTAATGCAAACCACCTTTCCCTTCCCGCAAAAGGAACGGCGTTATCCAGCACAAAAGCAGCATGTACCGACAGCGAGTTCATGTGCGTGTCCGACCAGGAGTGTATAAGCCTGGACTGGGTGTGTGACGACTTTCCCGACTGCGACGACAGGAGTGACGAGGAACCCAAGTTCGACTGCTCGGTGAGTGATCCTCGAGGCGTAGAATGCTCGTCCTCCAGGCAAGACTTCTACGTGCATTCGGTTGTTGCTGTTGTTGGTTAATGTCATTTTTGCTTGATATCATTATTGGTTATTATTATTGTATTTATGATCGTTATTATTGTTTTATTATTATCATTATTATCAATGTTGTTATTATTATTATTATTATTATTATCATCATTATTATTATTATCATTATTATTATTATTATTATTATCATATTATCATTATTATCATTATTATCATTATTATCATTATTATTATTATTATTATTATTATTATTATTATTATTATTATTATTATTATTATTAATGTTATTATTACTATTACTGTTGTTGTTGTTGTTATTGTTATTATTATCATTATTATTATTATCATTATCATTATCATTATCATTATTATCACTATTATTGGTTGTTTTTATCGATATGGTCGTTACTTATTGTTTTCCTGGTTTTAATGAGGATAGTAATGACGATATTGGTGATGATAATGATACTACTACTACTACTGCTACTGCTTCTGCTACTACTACTACTATGGCTACTTTTACTACTGATACAATTGCTACTACAGCTGTTGCTAATGATGATAAAACTGATGATAGTAGTAAGAATTGTAATGACAGTAAAAATGATAATAATAATGATAGTTGTCATTAAGTTTGTCATTGTTATTATTATCATTATTGTTATTATTATCAATATCATTATTAGTTTTTCTCATTATTATGATTAAAATTATTATCATTATTGCTATTTGTTTAATTATTCATTATTACTATTATTATTGTTATAATTATCATCACTATTATTATTATTGTTATGATTATTATCACTATTATTATTATTATTAATATTATTATTTTCGATATTGTCATTGTTATTATCATTATCATTATTATTATCATAATTACAATCATTGCTATCATTATTAT